CCTTGCGATCTAGTTACTAGTGAATCTTAATTCAAGCCAAACGGATGGACATTCCATCTTCAAATAATGGTCGAGGGACATATTCCCTCTTTTCATACTTTCGATGGGGATCCACCGAACCTGAATACTAGTGAAGCTGAGAGCTTATGTGGTATCTGTTCGAGTTAAAGATGTTCTTAATGAATGAAAGAAAATTAAAGAAATATAAATGAGAGCAAAGACAACTTTGAAAAAATAAATGGGGTTGGTTTTGCCAAGCCAGGAATCGAACCTGGATCTCCCTGATAACATTGAAGATGGAATGTCCATCCGTTTGGCTTGAATTAAGATTCACTAGTAACTTGATCGCAAGGCGATAGAACTTTAATGTATAATTTTATTATTTAATATTGTTATAGCTGTGAGATAAATAAAATATTCAAAGCACAATGGGCCCAACACACAGTACAACTAATTTATTTGGTTCCCTTAAAACGTATTAGTATTCTATTCGGCATTAGACGGATAGGATGGAAGATAGAAGCTAAAAATGTAATAAAATAAAAATAGTGAATAAAATAATTCGAAAGGTTGTACGAGAAAGTGACAATAACGGACACTGAATCAAAGGAAACGACGTAAGAAGGTTGTAGACGGTGGTGGCGAACAATAACCAGAAAGAAGAAGAAGAAGAAGAAGAGAGAATTACCTGAGGAACTGGGTGTGGAAGCGAGACCCTTGGAGGAAGAGGAGCAAGAGGAAACACGGGATTGGTCAATGGCACGCGTAATCGATTCTGCTTCCTCTTGTCTTTCCTCCCCCGCGCCTCATAATCCCTATCACTATCTCTCTATCTCTCTATTTGCCGTTTAATCACTTCCCAGCCGTCCTATTCTCATATTATACATATTTATTACAACCAAGATATAATACAATATATCACACGTACGATTAACCGATATGTTTATATGACAAGAATTATTTATTAACTACTCTATCTTCAATTTCACGTCCGACTCTATGTACAAGGAATTTTTTTTTCTCAATAAAAATTAAATAAAACTATCAGTTTATTTCGGAGTAATTTTTTTTTTTTTCGTCTTTTCCGAGAAATTATTTTCTACACAAATAATTATCAGTTGTATATAAATATACTGAGAGTGTGTGTGTGTGTAGTTTTTATACTATTGCACAATACTGAGAAATAATAAGAAATAAATTATTTGTAGATTTTAAAAATGTTTTCCGGTATATGGCAACGGAATTTGGCTCCAATAAAATTATTATAAATAAGTTATATCAGATCAGATTGTACTTAAAAGTGAAATAATAATAATAATAATGAAATGTGTAATAAAATAAATAAGAGATAAGACAAGTTCTTATGGAGCAGAAGAAACTTGTCCTTGCTTACGGTCGTTTCTATTTATAATCTCACATAGACACTTTTAAGAAAAAAAAAACATACATATGCCATAGCGTGATTTTTGGTATTTAAAAGCGGAAAAAAGGCCTCAAATAAAATCAACTGTATTACATTAAAATAAAAAAATTTATCACTTGAGAATTACGACAGCGATCCCTATCGCTTATGATTATTATTATTATTATTATTGTTATTATTGGTGTAAGTGATGATTGTTATTATGGATCTGGGATTTCGGTTAATGATAGACAAAAAATTACAAATAATCGTTCATGGACCCATGTCAATTTGGGGATTGAAAAAGGATAAGGAATTAAACGAAATATAAAATATAAGCGGGCGATAAGGAGAGAGCAAGAGCCAGAAACAAAGGAAGCCGGTCCCAAAACTCAGGCCAAGCCGTGCCAGGTTTATTCAAAAGTCTGGGAACGCGATTTCGTTCGACCTGAGTAGTGTCCACGAATTTAGTCGGTTTCGAAGAATTTGGCCTCAAGAGTCTCGCCGTTTCCTCTCAAGGTTAACCCCCTTTTTTATTTCGTTATTCGTTATTCGTTATTATTATCATCATCATCATCATCATCGGCGAGGCAATCTTTTTTCTTTAAAAAAGTAACACGTAGCTCTCTCATTTTCTCGCTTAGCTCGCTACAGCAAGACCCGCCGACATACGAGAGACCTGAGACAGGAGTAGATCGAAGGCCGGCTATTTATTTGCAAGACAACGCCCGCAGCCCAAACTCATCAGCTTCAATTATATTTCTGCCTTCAAACAACAAAAAATAATCTAAACCAATTCTCAATAAATAAATATTTAAGCGTATAATAAATATCCAACACTTACAGGATTTTATTTTTAAAAAACTGCATCTGTAGCCACGACCTACGGCCACGCGTGCCATGACCTACTCAATTTCATAAATTCAACCTCCATTTTTAATAACTTTTAAAACAACTTTCTAAAACAAACTCCAGTTAACTTTATCTGTTTTTTTTATAAATTTTATCCTGTTTTATTTTGGCGCCATTTTCAGTGCACAAAGCCGCCATTTATATTTTAAGTGACTCCTTAAAAAAATTATCCAAAGTATCTGACAACTTTTCTTCTATTTTTTTAGAGTATTAATTTATTTTTAAAATAAAACCAAAAAATTGTCAGATTTTAGTGTTATGATTTTATTTAATTAAAATTATAACAGAGAAAAAAATGTTTTTGAATCAAGTATGTAATTTTTAAGAATTTTATCTTCTTGATTTGAGTAGAAAAATTTTTCTTGAATTAAGGAAATTTCACTTGATTCAAGAATTTTTCTCTCGAATCAAGTTAATTTTTTTTTCAGTGCAATTGATAATTTTTTAACAAATAAATTATGATAAAAAAAAAATGCATCTATAGAAATTACAAAAAAAAATTGAGTGTAATTTTTAAAACTAATTTTCTCTAACAAATATATTCACTGAACAAACTCTAAAATAATAAAATACATAATAATAATGAAAATTAAGTTAGCCGACATTTAAAAATTTTCAGAATTATTTTTATTGAAAAAATTATTACAAAAAAATTTAAAAAAAAAATGTCACTTGTAAAAAACTTCAAAAACTATAAGTGATATTTTTTAAAAATAATTTTTCGTATTCATTTTATTATTGAAAAAAAAAATCAAATAATTAAAAACGTCGGCTAACTTTACTATCATTAATAATAAAGTTAGCCGACATTTTTGATTTTTTTATTTTGCTTAATTTATTAAAATTATTACTAAAAAAAATTAAAAAAAAAAATTGCACTTATAGTTTTTGAAGTTTTTAACAAATGAAAAAATTTTTTTTTTCATTTTTTTGTAACAATTCTTTAATAAAAAAAATTTTTACAGGTCGGCTAACTTTATTTTCATATAAAATACTTATTAATTTGTTAGGAATAAATTATCAGCAAGAAAATTAAATTTTATCATGTAAAATTAAAAAATATTTTATAAAAAAAAAATGATGAAATATTTGGCAATTTGAGTATGTATAATTAAAAAATTTTTCCCGCCAGAAAAAAAAATGAGTCAGCTTGACAAAAATAAGCAAAGTATATAAGTATAGTCAGTAAAGTATTTAGACAAAGAAAATGAGTGCTCACCTTGACGGCCAACGATCTCAGCCACGTGCTCGCTGCTGGGTACGGGAACACATTCAGTCATGTTCTGGCTCTTCTTGGACCTGGCCTCCTCAAAGACGCTGGACGGCGTCGCCTGTAGGTCCGTTGGGTCGGAGTTGTTTCCGTTCCCCGGGCCAGCGTTGCCATTGCCCGTGCAACCTTGGGTGCCCTCCGCGAGACTCAGCATCGAGAGCTCAAAGGCTAGTTGAAGGGCACGCTGTTCCTCCAGAGAGTTACCTCCGGCGCTGACGCTGCGGTCTATGTCGTTGAACAAACTCGTCGGCATCTTGCTTCACCTTTATTCTCTTCTCTTTCTTTAAATATATTATTCACACCTGCTATCACTCGACAATATCAATCTAATAATTATCGCTTTACGTTTTAATCACTGACACGTTTCAATTTGTCGTATGATTATTGAGCCTTTTTTCTTTACTTTTATATCATATATATATATATATATATATATAATAATATATTAATATAATAACTGGAAGAGAGAAATAGTTGGTAGTAAATTTCACACAAAGGATTTAGATCCTCAACTCCCACGAATACGACTGAGTGGTAAAATTGAAAAACGTAAAGACGTTTTCGTACAAAAATAAATAATTAAAATTCAAACTTTGTATTTTTATTTATTTGTCTGTTGGTAGTTAGAGTTGGTAAACGCTGTTAAACTGTCCTTGTAAAAAAGTCGACCAATCACGATCTTAAAATAAAAAAAGATGTAAGTAACAAACAAAGTTGCTTTTTTTTTCGATCGATCACTTTCTTAATAAATTCTTCTTGGTAAAAATAATAATCAATAAAATATAAATACAAATAATAAAACACTTTTTTTTTTTAATATAATTTATCTAGCACACTCGCGTGAAATTTTTCAGTAGTAATAATATAATTACAATAAAATTCTGTACTCAATATATTTATTTAGCACTTGTAACGAGTGCTCTAGACAAGTAGCTGTTAGTTGTTGTAATTTTAATAGAATTATAGAATTTATAAATGCTCAACTTGGATGCAATTATAAGTTGTAAGTTATTAGTTGTCACTAATTGAGTAAGAAATAATTATTAATTGTAATAACAATGTATTACAACCGAGTGTTGGCGCGAGACTAAAAACAAATCGGCTTAACAATGTGTCTTAAATGTCGTGTATCGTGTTAGAGAGTTGAAAAAACAGACAGACGCTTCACGACTACCCTCTCGCTCTCGAGTGTCACTGCGACTGAGTACTGCGACGAACTGCGACTGCGGCAAGCTGCCGGTAACGGCCATGTGCCGGACGCCGGTTCTCCGAGCCCGGGATTGGTCCGATTCAATCACGTGTCCGGTGTATTCCTGCCCCCACTCCTAACTCACACATGGACGCTCGGCGGCTGACTATGGTGGTGTGTGGTGTTGGTGCGACTTCTACATACACATACACCGAGCAGCGAACAGCGAACCCTGCCCGAATATAATCCAGAGCCAGCACACATTTATGTATTATATGTATAGTACTATATATACTTAACTGCCGAGCATGTACCGAGGGGATAGGAGCCGAGCAAGTCAAAGCTCGACGAAACATAGACACGACACACATAAGACACAACACACTACACACAACACCGACAGGGCAAACACCCGACACTAAGCCACTGTTGGTGTATTGCTGCGTGTGTCGACACTTGCGCACCCGCTCTATGCTTTTACTCTCGTATGTGTAATGTGTAATGTGTGTGTTCTCCCTTGCTCACTCAACCATCGCACGCTCTTATTTTCCGGCTTCTCACTCCCCGACACACGGCTCCCCATACGTCTTCCTCCCTTTAGCCTTTTTTAAAATTTTTATTTCTCCTGTTATTATTCTCTGCTATGTGCTCGTACTCACTCTCCTCTCTTTGCTCTTATTTTATTCTCCTTTATTTTCGACTCTCTTACGCATCATTTTTATCCTCTCTTTTTAAATTAATCCCGGCTCTCTATCTCGCTCATTCGCATCTCAGATACCACATTCACTCATTACATTTTTTTAACTTACTCTTAAAACGTTAGTTTTTACTTATTCGCGCACTTTTTACCTTCTCTACTTATTTGTTGAAAGTATTAAGAGCAATATAAAAGTATATTAAATTCGACAGTTTTATTTACTGAAAAAAAAAAAAAAAAAAAAAAAACTTTATTTAAGAGCTGAGATAATTATTTTTTAAAATTACACACTGCCCATACAACAAAAATTCTGATTAAAAATTAATTTAAATCTGAATTTTAGATTGAAATTCATCCTTTGACAAAAATATCAATTAGTCTTGAGATCAATCCAAATTTTAAATTGATTTGTAGATAGAAATTAGCACGCCTGTAGAACTTTCGATCCTGTTTCAGAATTTTAGTAAAGACTTAAAAATATTTCGGCTGCCCAATTTTAAAACACAGTAACTACAAAATTCTTATACCTGATTTTTTTTTTTCGTATTGCTGCATTTTTTATAACTTTTAAACCTTCAAATTTCAAGTATTTTTTCTTAAAAATATTTATATTTAAGTATTTTCTATTCATAAATCAATTTTGTCATTAATTTGGCGGGCAAACTTTTTTTTAATAAGAAAAGTTGAAAAAAATTTTTAAATGTTAGTTACTGTGTTTTGAAATGAGGCAGCCGATTTGGGATAAATTTTATATAATCTCGTTTTAAATTACGAATAAAATTGTTTTTAATATAAGTTTTACTCAGTTTTTTTAATAAATTATTGCATTAAATAATTATCGTATAGGACTTACAAATTATATTTTAAATATATATTAAATTTATGCTGAACTACAATCAATTTATTGTAAAATAATTAATTGCAATTTTACAAAAAATTGATTGTAATTATTAAACCTAATATTTATTTAAAATAAAATTTGTAAGTGGATAATTATTTAATGTAATAATTTCTCCTAAATATTTTGAAGTCTTTATAAAAATTCTGAAGCAGGATCGAAAGTTCTACAAGCTTGCTAATTTCTATCTACAAATAATTTAAAATTTATATTGATCTCATGACTAATTCATATTTGTGTCAAAATATGAATTTCAATCTAAATTTATTTTTACCAAAATTTTTTTTGCACGGCTGATAGATGGATTTGTTTATAATTAAAAATATTTGTTAATATTTAACAAATCATTTATTTAAGACCACTTTTTAGTATTAAACAAATATTTCTTAGTATTTAAAAAGATTTATTACATACAAACAAATCATATTAAATACTGAGAAATATTTATTTAATACTAAAAAGTGGTCTCTATATAATAAATGATTTGTTAATTATTAACAAATATTTTTTTATACAAATAAATCCTTCTATCAGTGCATTTATTATCAAGTTGAAAAATTCTTCCATTAATCAATTACAAAATTATATCCACACGTTAATTGATATAAATATCATCAAAGCTTCAAAGAGAATTAAATCCACTGGATTATTGTATAATTATCATCGGGTTGTTAATTATCATTATGCTAATAATTAATAAATGATTGATATTGATACTCGGTAAATTTTAATTATGAGTTCTCGATCATTTTGTTAGAGATTGATTGTTAGAGAGTAATACTTTTATCAATAAATAATTAGTGATACAATAATGTGTATAGTTACCTCTTTGATAACTTTGAAAGACGTCGAGCTGGTATATTCTATCCTAGACTATTATATTATATTATACTGAAAATCTACAGCGTTGAAGTTTATACGTCGAATTTCGGTAATTGGATCGCTCTTCAGATAATTTACAGACCAAATTCCGATAATGTTGTTCTGCGAACGTCAATTAAAGTCTGTTGGCTCGAGCCAAAAAATCATTTTTTTTCACCCAAACTCTAAATAGACCACCGAAAAATTCTAATTTCATTTTTTATTTCAGAGTTTTATTTCTCAGCTATTTGCTAATTAGTAAATACTAGAAACAATAAATAAAATTTCGGAATTTAAAATTGGCAAGTACTCCATCTGCAAATAGAAAACTTTTACTTTTTAAATATCAAATATTAACTATTTAGTTACCGCAAAAGTATAAAAACTACTAAAGAACAAATTTAACGATTTACATTTGAATATATTTCTGAAACTAACCCAACACCTGCCTGTCCAAATTCCGGATACTTTTCACCAGATATAATCAGTACCGAAAACGTTCAACACTTGTGTAAAAAAGTTTCTCCGCATCCACAGTAACAGATGAGAAATGAGAGAAAGAAACATTAAATTTTTAAAAATTTGCTAAGCTACAGTTTAACGTCTTATGTCTTGTCTTAAAATTATCTACACCATTGTATTTACTTTTTTTTTTCATTTTTCCCAGTCATGGCTATAATTAGACTCGCCTCTCGCCTCGTAGCTGCTGATTTTCAACGATTACCTTTCCAATGACCGCTTAAAGCGCCCGAATTTCAGCTCCAAGTGATCTGTCAGATGAATTTTAGATTATTTATCCACTAGATCTTTTTAAAAATTTTAAATTACATTTTTATTAATACAAATACAAACAAGTACATTTTAAATTAAAAATAATATTATTCGAAGTTTCTAGACACGCATTTTAGGACGTAAATAAGTACTTGAGACTATAGAATATTCTGGTAATAACAAGAAAAGGAATAGTAATTTACCTGAGACCTATAATATGTATTAGTATCGATTTAAATGAATTCTAGGAATTAAAGGTTCATCTATTGCTTAGTATAATTGAATTTTAATGACAGTTTTTTTTATAAATCATCTAACACGTGTTGTTATTCAAAAAATAATTTTTTGGGTGATAAAAATGTACACTTAAAAAATAAAAAAAAAATATTTATTAACAATAAAATCCCGAATGTAAAATATTTTTTGTCGTAAATTTCCATTGAAGCAGAACATGAAATTGTATGGACTATGAACTAAAGTCTTCGAACTATGGACATTTGGGTGTTGCCAGTGTCCCTCGAGCCTCAGGTAAAAATTTCAGCAAATCCAGGCAATTCATAATAGACCTTGTAGCTCAAAGTGCCCATCAATGCCTCGAAAAATAGTCTCGGTATTTAGGAATTCATAAGACGGTATTTGTTAGTGATGGACAACCGCTTTTCATCGTACACCTAGATCTATCTTAACTTTTACTTCTATACTTTTATTTATTTCAATATTTTTCAATAGTGTAAGGATGGCCACGTCAGTTTACTCGAATAAGAAAACTACAACTACAACTACGCACAGTAGTTTAAGGAAAGAGAAGGTATATATGAGTAATAGAGACCGGCACTA